AAGCCTCAGCAAGAGCTCCCAACCCCAAGGGAGAAGGGGGAGAAAGCAGTTCTGGCATCTCACTAAGTGTCCTGGCCAGTGTCGCTGCCTGTACACTGCTGGGGGTGCTTATTCAGGACATACCCCACAGAAATGCCCCCAGGAGATGTTACTTGCCCAGGGATGCCACCAAACAGGCGGAAGGGACTGCTGGTTGCAATCAACGTAGGTGCAGTGAATCATCCTGCTACCCTGGCAAGGGGTGCATGGGCAACTGGGGTCCAGGTCTCTGACCTGCCACAGCTTTCCTGTGGGAAGATTTATACCCTTCCCAAAGGAGGAGACAAGGGCAGTAGGCAGCCCACCTCATCCTCATGAGTGGAAAACCAACAATCCTGCTTGTACAAGAAACATCCAAAGGTTTCCAAGCTTGTCTGAAAGATTTTTGGGGTGGGGATATTATTACATTTTAGTCCTCAGCAGCATGGCCAACCAGATATCCATGGCCAACCAGATATCCATCTTCCACCTCCACTGTGTCTGACCTCAGGATAAGCAGTGGCTGCATCTGCTCATTCAGGATGACTAAAGCAGATGGCCTGGGGTTTGATCCAGCTTTTCCCAGCCCAGAACTGCACCCACACCATGTTCCTCTTCCAGAGAAAGGGTCTGGGGGTTGATTTTTCCAGCACATCTAACCTCAAATAAAGGGCAGTCACTGCAGTGACACTCATGTGAAAATCCACCCTCTTTTATACCAGTACAACATCACTATACAGGCAAGTTCATGTTTTTATCTGGAGCGTGGCCATCCCACCCTGGGAAGTTACACCCCATTGCTTCACAGAGACTCTGGGAAGATGAAACATTACATCAACATCTCATCTGATGGGGTAGAGAGGGACAGAGATAGCCCTCATTTAAGGTGCCCAGCAGCAGTTCTCTGATCAGCAGGTGCAGGGAAATAGGAACCTTGATGTTCAGTGTTCCCCTCATGCTTCAATACCCGGCTTCAGCAGCTGAAAATGCTCTTGAATTGACAATGCTGACACTGGGAAAGAAGCCAAGGAGTGTGGGAAAGCGCCCAGATTCTCCCTCTCCATGTGCAGGAAGAATTTGGGCACTTCATAACCATTACAGTCCTGGGTAAGTTACTTTAAGTTAGAAATGACCAAGCCTTGGAATAAAGGGAAGACAGGAAATAAACCCCTGTATATTTGTCTGTTGACCAAAAAAAATCCATCAAAAGCTCAGCAGGATTGATGGAGCCACTGCCCATAGACAGAAAGCATTAAGGAAAACACCTCGCAATATACACCCTGCTTGAACAGCAGCTTGGGCTGATGTGTCTGCCACAGACCCAAACCCTTCAGATCGAGATGGCAGTGGCTGCATTTCACATGACACTTAGGAAGTGAAGCTTGTAACAGCTACCATATATATACATATATGAAACCATAGTCACTTCCTGCAGGCTACTGGAGGGTCAGATTAATGGGAAAGGCTTTTGAGCACCAGGTTTTCTCGGCTCCCACCACCACCAGTCACGTCTTACATCTGTCTACAAGACTGGGGAGTACTGGCCATGGGTGTTGAGTAACCTCCACTTACCACTGGGCTGAACTGGTCCCTCTGGGGAAGTGGTGAGCGGTAGAGAGGACAACGCAGCATTAAAGCATCCTCTCTACATGCACAGGGAGAAAAAGAGTCTGGGTAAATCTGGTCTAGGCAGGGTGCACTCAATGTGGGCAGGTCAGGGCCAGCCTGTTAATAGCCAGCAAGCTCCTACCTGAGAGCTTGCTTTGGAGAAGGAAATCAGGAGGAGCTTATGTCATACTAAGCTAGAAGTGTCTACATGCAGGACTGAAGGCAGAGGCTTGTGACAGGAGGCCAAGTGACTCAGTTGTGGTGGGTGGGGGCAACAAGAGAGAAGGGGATGTGGTTAGGGAACAGGCTATGAGTCACCAAGGAAGCACATATGTTGATAACAGCTGGATAAACTCAAAGCAGAGACATAAGGTCTGCTCAGAAGAACATCCAAGCTATACTGGAAGCCAAAACCTGGAGACAGCAATCCCAAGGGTGAATGCAACAGAGAGTTCTAAGTGCCTGCCACAGCCTTTTCCAGCTTTGCAGCTCATCAAGGGTTGCAGGATGAACATTTATCTTATATGTGACAGCACCTCAGCACCCTCAGAGGGAAGAGCTTCTGCCTTATTTCCAGTCTGAGCTTCCCCTGTTTCAGTTTGAACCCATCATCCCTTGTTCTATCACTCCAGTCCCTGATGAAGAGCCCCAGTATCCTTGTAGCACCCTTCAAACACTGGAAGCTGCTCTGAGGTCTCCACACAGCTTCTCTTCTCCAGACTGAACAGCCCCAATGTTCTCAGCCTGTCTCCATACAGAAGCTGCTCCAGCCCCTGCTCATCCTCATGGCCTCCTCTGGACTTGCTCCAACAGCTCCATGTCCTTCTTATGGACACCACAACTGCACAGTGCTGCAGGAGCAGGGTGAAGGGGCAGGATCACCACCTGCTGGTCACTCGTCATTTGATGCAGCCCAGGATATGGTTGCATGGGATTGAGACTTCCCATCCTAATCCCTGCTCTCCCACACAGGCTGTCTAGTTTGCAGGTCCCCCTGCCCAGGTCTAAAATGTCCCTGAAAACCTCCTTGGGAGCACAGTCAGCTTCAGCTTGCCCGTTCAGTTGGATCTGCCTTCCTTTCATGCTTTCCCAGCAACTATTTAGGAGGCATGTGCTCATTCCTTTGTCCACTTTGAAACCAGAGAGGATTGCTGTTGACTCACAAGAAATGTGTCACAGTCACATGCCTGCTTCTTTGCGTCCATCACTGCTGTGGCACTTCCCTTTCGGTGGGGAAATGGGAGAGAAGCAGCGTCAATTTGGCACAGGAAACTCAGCTTTGGTGTGTTCCTGAAACCTCAATTCAGTTTTAAGTCAAAGAGTCTCCATGACTCTGAAGAACAGGCACATAAACACTACATAACGGGTGAATTCCTTTCTGTCAAGCCTAATATTTGCCAACATGTGCTGTAAATGCATATTTTATGTCAACAACCCTTGTGGAACAAAGAGATTTATGTGACCACCTTTGAACTGAACACTATCTGGTAAATGCATGTTGCAAAGAACAGGTCCTCCCTCCAACTGCTCAGAAGCAACAGGAACTACAATTACACTTTGCGGGCTCTCAGTGGGTTAGTTTACCAAGAAAAGCCTTTCTTTACAAATTCATTAGCTAGTGCCTGCCCATAGGGATTATAGAAACACATCAAGGATGCCTTTCCTTGCCAGTATTAACCTTGGTTGCTGCAGGGAGGTATAGGCCCTAAACACAATGAGCTCCGAAAATGTGCCAAAGCGTAAGGCAGTTCAGATGTCTTGTTCCAGGGCAGATCAGCCTCCCGGGAAAGCCAGGATGTGTTCACTATCTTCTGCTAGGTCCAAAGAGCTCATTGCTTTGCTACAGAAAGTCACCTGCACTCAGAGCTTGGCATCAAGAGTGAGCCCTATGCCAGGGCATGTCCTGGCTGGGTTCAGGAAACCCCACAGGGCAGAGGGACCTGTGAAGCTGTAAGTACACCATTCCCAAGCAGGCAGCCTGCTGAGAGTGCACTTCTTAGCCTGTTCCTATCCACTCTCTCCCAAAGGCAAAGACTACTGCTGCTGAGCAGCCCCAAGCCTAAACCTCCTACAGAGAGCAATACAACCAGTGCAGTGATGGTGGGGCATTACACCTCAAAGGTGCTTACTTCTGGCACCCGGAGCATTCACATTAACTTAGATGGGCTAATTACTGCAGTATCACAGTCTCCACAAGTCAAGTAGGATCATTTCCTTGCCTAGATAACCTTAATGATGCTCCTGTGTGGCAAGCTGGGAAGGCAGCTAAGAGAGAACTTATAGGTTTAAAGGGCCTGGAAATGGAGCCAGCTAAGATGGTTAGAGGAGATAGAGGTGCATGCAGACAAGTGCACGCATGCAGGCACAAATGTCACACTGGTAAAGTGAAACCATCAGGATGCAATCTTCTCTTTCTTGCCAGGCTACAGTCTGCTTTATGTATTTCTTTACACTAGGACTGTAGTTTTCCTGGGTGGGAATAGCTGTACACAGGTACATCACTTTCATGGCATCAGTGATGTCCTCACTAGGATGAAAAGAGACTGCCGAATTTCCAGCCCATGCCTGCTTCATACCCAGCCCATGTTCTCCAGTCTTATGGCACAGTGTCCTCATGTCCTGACCTTTTCAAAGGGAGCAAATGAGAGGCAAAACTGTAGCCATAAGATACAGGGGGCAGAACTATACCCACAGTCAGTGTTGTAGTTCCACAAGCCCACTGTTTAGCATCCCACTGTAGGACAGGCTCTCTACTGCCTGCTCCTCTACACCACTTCTGGCACTTTCCCCCTTCTGAGATATAAGGAACATGCTGGACAAGGTCTAATCAAAGCCTCATATGGAGGCAGCAGTATTTCCCTCTCTGCTAAATACATCTCTTAGGCTTGCACTAGCAGCATCCGCCTGTGCCTATAGCCATCCTGCAATTAGTTACTACCCCATTTCCTCTTCATCTGGTAATTCACATGGATGAGAGTGTAGCGAATGGGAGAAGTCTTATTAATAGCTCCAAACACAGTACCTGCATTAGATCTCACACTGCTGCTTCTAACAGTCTCCAAGGTCAGTCCATCCTTCCTGTGTGACATCCATGTCCCCTTCCACCTTGGCAATGCTCTGAACTGTCTCATCTGCAGAAGTGCTCCATACATTCCTCCTATATGTATCCTATTGACTTTTTCCTCCTGTTTTCCATCCACTTGGAAGTTCTAGAGCAGGGCTCAGGTTTGCTCACTTCATTAGAAATAAGAAATCACATATCAATTAGAGGTGATAAGTTATCTGAGCTTCATCTGTTCAAGCTTGCAGGATCACTTAGACATTCAGCTGCGTTATTCACATGAGCACTCACTCAGAACACTGTCATAGGTTACCTTGACCCAAATCAGTCCTTCCATCTAATGAGTCCTGCTGGCAGGTTAGAGGAGCTGGATACATGTTTTGAACAGGACATCTGTCCATGGCTTAGGTTGTGGAGGTGGTGGAAGCACCTCTGTGGACATGGCTGTGTAGGAGTCAGCAACACTTCTAGATTTGGGGAAGAAAATTCTACATTAATGAGCTCTTTGCTTTTAAAAGCCGGGTCTATAAATGGAAAAGAATTAATGGGTCCCATTCCTTTGGCACAGATGCCCAGTGATGCATGCTTGTGTAAAGAACATCTCTGGCAGAGCCAATGTCACCTAGTCCAAAATAGAACAGGCCCAAAACTCAGCTAAAAATCAAAGCAAATCTGGCTCAGGCTACTGAGGGCAGTGATGAGCAATAACTGCTCAGGAAAATTGCTTCCAGGAAAACCAGCCCTGTCTTGCAAGGACATGTGTTTCAGGGAGCAAAGAAGCAGGATCTTGACTGCTTGGAAGTCAACACCACTGACTTCCACAGAGCCAGAATTGCTCACCCCAAGCCCTCCAAGACTAATACAGTGGCATCTAATAGAGAAGTATTTAACCGCAGGTATGTAAGAGTAATACATAATGCAGAACATGGCTAAGCTCTTCAGAATTCACACCATCCTCCCACTGACAGCACAGAGCTGTGCCCCCAACCATGTGAGCGCACAGGGCTACTGCAGACATCCCTTGGAAAGGGGGAAGGGATAGAAGCATGACTGGGCATTGCAGGACTGGAAGTTTCACACCAGAGCAAGCAAATGCCAGACCCTCTGTGTTCTTGCCAAGAGAGAAATTCCCAGAAGGAAATGGATGCTGTCACACTACTGTCACCTCAACAGCATCTGTGTATGTCAAAAGGGTCACTGCTGGGTGCTTCCTCATGCGTTACTGCTCCTCTCTGATCACTCACAGCTCTCAGCAGGAGCTGCTAGCCAGAGTGATGCTAACTCAGCATACTGGAGGCAAAAGTGAGATGATGACCCTTTAAAAATGCATACACCACTGTGCATGAACTCTCTGTGACATACTCAACTGCTGAGCTCCATGTGAGGCAATGTAGATGAAGGACGAAGAGCATTTTCTGCCTCACACATCCCACAGACTAACAGCACATGCACATCCTACTGCTGTGACTCAGTTACACTCAGTACTCTGTGAAGGTGCAATAAATTGGTTTGCTTCCAAGCTCTTCCTATCTGTGCCTTGGTGTCAGACAACACTGGAAATAATTTCTGGAGACAGGGAAGGAGTTGCCCTAGGCAAATCTAGGTGCATTAAATGGCTGGTGAAGTCACAAGAGAGTCAGAAGCCAAATCAATTAGAAGTCAAGGTTTGATGTCCTTAGCTTTACAGGAAGTTCCACCAACCTGCACTAAGAAAAGACCATGTCTTCTCAGGAAATGATACAGAAGAGTCAGGATGAAGGGGATAGAATCCCCGAAGTCACTATTTGAGGTGCCTCAGAGACAAAGCAACTTCCTCTGCTTTGTATAAGGGTTTTGAAAGTGAAGCAAAAACATTCAAGCACTAAAGCAATGCCCAGGCAAGGATGTTTTCCTGTACCCCTCAGTGTACTACAGGTAGTAGTAAGATCCAGGAGGGCAATTCCAATAGTGCATTGCCAGCCTTGGCAGCTTTCCCCGGGGCTTGGTCCAAAGGGGCCATTTGAGTTCAGGACACAAGAGACTGCAGAGATTCTGTATTACAAAGCAGCCACCTCATCTGGCATGGACTTCTGTAAGTGTTGAAACACACGCTCCCTCCCTGATCCTTTCCAGTATGGAAGGGAATCTACAGGCTCAGCATCTTTGGCTCCCCGAATGAGGCCGCAAGAGGGGCAGGCATGATGCAGTCTGGCAGCTCCAAACTATGCCTGCTGGGGAGCACAGTCAGTGGCTGTGCTCTCTGGAAGAACCCTCTTCCATTGCCTCTTCAAAAGGATAATCCAACTTTCCCTATATATTTGCATGAAACCAGTATCCACACAGTGCTTGGGATTAACGTGGCTGATCTCTCCCATCCACCAGCTGTGGGTTTGGAAGCAGGGGAGGATTGCAATGGGTTTGCTGCCAACACTTTCCTGTGTTCCCACTTGCCCCTACAGCTTGAGGAGGTTGGACAGGTTCCTTTGCCATGATAGAAACAGTAAACAAGGGCTTTGCCATGTCTCCTCCCCAGTACAGCATGGCCAGCACTGTGTGAGTCCCCAGCTGCAAGTGAAGAACTGGGGACCATGCAACCTGGTCCCTGTGGCAAAGGGGAGGTGACAGCAGGGAAGGTGCAGGCACTGTGCTCCATGTTCTCACATGGCAGCCCTGCACTCACCCTGAGCCTGTTGGGAAACTCCCAAGTCATGCTGGCTCCTCTGAAGAGCTCCTTTGGTTGCAGCTTAGGTTTACATGGAGCCATAGCTTGAGCTGGCAGGAGCCTGAGGGATAGCAGATACCAGAGTTACTTGCACATGAAGCCCGAGCTGTTCCCCTTGGGAGGCACTGAGACCTGCAAGGAACCTGGGGCAGGCATTTATCACCTCCATTCCTGCTACCAGCACCCACTGCAAACCCCCAGCACCTCACAGCATGGCTCTGACCTCCCAGGGATGTGTGTTTTTCTCCTCATTTCCAGAAAAGTGGTTGCTATGGCAACGGAAAGGATTTACATTTTTAAATGCTTCCTCAAGAACATCCATTCAAGAGGCTGAGGATCAGGAGAACAGAGGGATGCGATGCAGCACGATGGCCCCAGCATAGGACAAGAGCTTCAGAGCAAGCACAGGTGCCCATGCATGGACATTTGTATACAGGACTGCATCCCCAGCAGTGTAACCAGCAGCTCAGGGAGGTGATCCTGCCCCTCTACTCTGCTCTCATGAGATCCCACTTGCAGCACTGTGTGCAGTTCTGGTGTCCTCAGCATAAGAAGCACTTGGAGCTGTTGGAGCAAGTCCAGAGGAGGCCACAAGAATGAGCAGGGGCTGGAGTACCTTCTAAGGCAGAAGTTCTTCCCTGTGAGGGTGCTGAGGCGCTGGCACAGGGTGCCCAGAGAAGCTGTGGCTGCCCCATCCGTGGCAGCGCTCAAGGCTAGATTGGACACAGGGGCTTGGAGCAACCTGCTCTAGTGGAAGGTGTCCCTGCCCATGGCAGGGGGTTGGAGCCGGATGAGCTTTAATGCCCCTTCCAACACAAACCAGCCTATGAATCTAAGTTTCTATGGACAGGCTGGAGTATATGTGCCTCCTCTTCATGCTTCCTCTGCAAAGGCAGCTGCTTACACATGCATTGTGGTAAAGAGCATCCAGAGAGAAAAGCTCTGTTACTGGCAGCTTATCAGGGAAAAAACCCAACCACAGAGTCTCTTTTCTTCACTACTTCTTCACAAGATACAAAAATGGAACCCACTGTTCTCTTTTAAATGGTCAAGGACATTCAGGCAGCATCCACCACATTTCCTTCCCAAAAGAGACTTAGAGAAAGCCCTCTGAGGGATAACTAACTGCCTAACAGACAGGAAATGAGGATAAAAAGACGTGGAACATTTCCACCATGGAAGAAGATCATCTGTGAGATCTGTTCTTATGATCGCACTGCTCACTACAGAGTTACTCACAAGACAGCCACTCAAGCACGTGTTTGGATGCCTGGCCACCAGCAGAGAAGGGAAAGCTCCTAAATCCAAATGTCTTCATGGAAAGGTACTCCTCTGAGCTGCTGCCTGGATGGTGACATGGAGTAGCCACTTGCTCCCTGTGCCCACCTCTGCCTCAGTTTCCACATCCTACCTGCAGGATGAGAAGAGCATGCACAAAACAGGAGGCGGAAACCTTCCAGTGAAAGGGGAACAAAGTCACCCTAGGGACACCCAAAGTGGTCTGGGAGGGGAGACTCTGCTACCTCCTACCCAGCAAGGCAGAAAATGAAACCGTTGCCACGGTCTTCCCACGTTGGAGTTTTTCAAGGAGGTTTTGCTGGGTCTGTGATTGAAGTAGGCAAGGATCCTGTTTACAGAAGGTGCTATAAAGAAAGGCAACATGGATTTCAAACAGCTCCTACCAGCAAAGAGCAGTTGGGGCAGAGCAGTGACATTAATGCGATATTAATCGCATGTCTGCAAAGCGCAGGCATGAGCATGCCCAAATTACAACACCAAGTGACAGTGCTGCCTACCCTCTGGCTTGGCATAATCTGTTCCCATCCAAAGGAGCCGTGTCGGAATTGCATCACAGGTACTTCATGACAAAAGGCAGACAGGGCCCAGGGGCAGGAGGGAGCACTCTCAGGGTGGGCCTCTGCACCTTGCCTTGCTATTTTAGTAAGAAAGGTCTGGGTTTGGTTTGATTCTGTCTTCTTTGCAAGCCAGAGATGGCAGCTAAGCTCTCCTTAAGCAAAGAACAGAAAGGGCAAGGAAAAACACTTTACCAGAGGACTTAGCTCTATGAAATGCATGTTCCAGTGGGATAAGGAGCTCAGAGAGATACTGAACCACCCCAACCTTGTGTAGGCAAGAGCTGAGGCTCTGCATCCTACTTGCAGCTCAGAGAAATACTGCACTGAAGTGTCTCTTTTCTTACAAGGAAGAACTCCCGTAGGTGTTCTTTGGACAGTTGCTGCAGTCCCTCTGGGACTGTCAGTCCAGAACCTGACACTGCTTTTAGGAGCAGAGCTCACAGAGATGTGATGGGGGACACAGCCAAGCCAAGAGCCAACCCCTACCCCCCCCCGCTTCCCCCATAACAGAGACTTGACTCTGAGGAGGAGCCCTCAATTTGGCTGAATGCCACTGGCAGGACTGAGCCTTGTGTGCCAGATGGGTTTGACACCCCTTCCTCCTCCCTTCTGTGAGCACACAGACATCATGATACCTCCTGTTGTAGCTACCAAACCATTCATTGCAGCTTCCCCTGCCTCTTTAACCAAATGCCATTAACAACAGTTTAAAAGAGGAAGAAACCTTCCCAATCCCACAGATTTAGATCCACTTAGGCCTCCCATGAAGTTCAAGTGCTCCCCTATAATTATTATAGCCACTAATGACTCGGCCAGTGACACAGAAAGCCTATGAGTCCTTTGGCAGTACCACAGTGGTCTCTGCAGCAGCTCAGCTTGATTTGAGAACCAGCAAAGCCAGGAAAGACGCCAAAGAAAACCATTGTCACGAAGAGACCAGGGCTGCTGAGGACAAGGAGGAATCAGCTCAAGTGGTTGGTGGTGTGTAAGAGACATCCTACAGCAAGCCCAAGGCACTACCAAACTGCAACAGCAGCAGGGACCAGGCACAGGGTTAAAGAGAAGAGCATCTACTGCCTGTGGAACTAACCTACAATAAGGACATCCAGCCAGGGCTGAGCAGTGCCCTATCGGCATCACGAGCCTGAAGGCAGAAGCAAAACTGTGTGTGGATAGGCACAAGTGACGTGGTTTGTATTCAACCTGTGTGTGTATGTATTTGAATAAGTGATTCTCAACTGAGCCAAATGTACATGCCCATTATGCTGTGAGAGTTTAAAAGCAATTAGCAACACAAATCCTGGTGTGAACCCTGCTCTAGGTTGTTCATTTGGTTTTGCCTTTTTCTCCCCATCCATCACAGTACCCAGTAAGTAATTTCTTACAAGTCTTTCTTCCTGGCCTGAAGCTGGGATCTCACACAGCCTTTGCCCATGCATTAATCACTGTTCTTGTCACTCTCAGCCTGAGCCCCTGTTATCTCTGCTTTTCTGCTAGCAGCCAGTGATGAGAGGCCGTGCTTCCCCTGCTCCTGTGCTGCAGGACAGGGTGCTCCACACCAGACATATTCTGAAATGGGGATATCAGAGGAAAAAGGCAGACTCAGTGGCAGAGGAGATACGTGTTTGGAAACTGCATGCAAGCATGAGAGAGCTGGGCTGGTTCAGCCTGGAGAAGAGAAGGCTTCTTCAACGGAGACCTGAGAGCATCTCCAGTGCCTAAAGGGGCTACAGGAAACCTGGAGAGGGGCTTTGGACAAGAGCCTGTAGGGACAGGACAAGGGGAATGGCTTTAACCTGCCAGAACAGGGGAGACTGAGATGAGCTCTTAGGCAAAAGCTCTTCCCTGTGAGGGTGCTGTGGCACTGGCCCAGGGTGCCCAGAGAAGCTGTGGCTGCCCCATCCTGAGTGAATCTTGGGGATGAGAAGCTGGAGAGGTGGGCATTTGTGTGGCCCAGAAACCAAGTCACAGAGCAGGCCAATCATGACGAATCAAGCAGTGATGTGCTGCCATGGCAATACCAGGCCAGGATAAAAAGCTATTAGCAAGGCTTGTATAAGGTGGGTAATTAATACAGTCCTCCATGAGGGGGGGTTGTATGAGATTCCCAACCCCACTAATCATGCTAGCAGAGGAGAAGAGGCTGTGGTGGAAGCTGTCCAGGAGCTGCTGCTGGTCTTCACCAGCTCATCATCAGCAGGGCTGTCCCCCAGCAAATCCAAGCCAGACTGCACCAATGCTCACATAAAACATTCATGATCCACCATGAATGGTGGGGTTTTGGTGTGAGAAGGGGGAAAGGGACTGGAGACAAGCTGTTAACTCTCACAGCAAGTGAGATGGTAACAGCTTTCAAAAGCTCTAGCAGCTGTGGTTCCAGCATCCTGAATGTTCCCAGAAGACAGGTGGCTTGTTGGAGGTTGGTTTTTGATTGTCCACAGTAAGCTGTTTGCTTCTTCTCGGTTTCCTGGTTTTAAGACATCCTTCTTGAGGCAGCAGGGCTGGTCACAGACCTTTCTGAAAGAGAAAGCAGGGATTCTTAGGCAATTGCATGATTTCAGAGCTGAGGCTTTAACTGAAAGCAGACAACGAGCTAGTGCTGTGGCCTGTTCGCAATGCTGGGTTTGTTTCTGGAAGGGGCCTGCTATGGGGAGAAGAAATCTCCCTCTGCCAGCCAAGTCAGTTCCTCCAAATAAGCAAATTCCATTATTCAATCCCAGAATTGCCAGCCTGCAAACACAAGCGTTACCTGTGCTCTGCTCCGTATCCGCCTCCCACCCACCAGCTGTCTTGCTGGTGCACCTCCCATCCTGAGCCTGCTTCAGCAAAGGATGCTTTTCCTCCAGAACAGCTTCCCCCAAACACTGTCCTCCTCTCTGCTAAGGAATGGAGTCTGAGGATGGATTGCTTTGGAAGCTGGTGTTCCCCTGTTATCCAGGCTCCTGTTTTCACTCAGGCCTTTCCTTCTCGATCTGCAGAGATGGTCCCAAGCAAACTTGTCAGCAAGCCAGGTCTCTGCCCCATGCATTGGTTCCCCCATGCCAGAGAGGTTAGGGAAAGTGCAAGGATTAAGACAGGCTGACTAATGGCAATGCCAGGGACAAAAGCAATGGATTTACTAAATGAAGCAGAAATTCCTCCTGTTTTCTCTCCTGCTCTTGCTGGGAAGTATCTGCCTGCTCTCCTCCCAGCTTGTATCCAGAACCTTGCAGGAAATAAAACTGTTCAAATATAGGCTTTCTGGTTGCAGTAGTTTCTAACAGATCAAAACACTCTTTGGCCAGCAGCAGCACTTCTTCCTCCCCCCACATCTGGTATGGCAGGGGTTTATGAGCTATTCTTGATAGTGCTTTCTTCCCTCTTCTTTGACCCACCTCAGGTTCTCTACCATTAGAAATGCCTTGCCCTCTTAACACCAGCCTCCTCCCAGATGTATTTGGGACAGAGCAAAGTAGTAGCTAATATCCTTGGGGAATGCCTGCATTCCCTCTGGCTCACTTTTTCAGGGCTCTCTGGAATCACCCTGCCAACCCGTGTGACCCCCACAGGCCATCAAGTCTTTCCAAGTACTTGCAGAAGAACTGGAAAGTTCATTTTAAAGGAAAAGCAGTGGGGTGGCTCACTCCCTGTGTGCTTCTTCCTCTGCAAAAGAAGCCATATGGCAGTGCTTAACTGCACTTACTGTGCTGGAATTACTTGGCCTTCTGGCTTCCTTCTCCAAGACTGCCCAACTGTGCAATTGCCACCAAGCTGCCACCTGCCTGCCTGGCAAGCACTGTCCCAGTCCCTGCCCTTGGAACTACTGCAGGCAGCTCCATTCCTGGGTGGCTGCAGAGTGCTGCCTTCATCTCACCTCATGTATTCCTGACCTCACTTCTGTCTGCATTAACTCCCTCAATATTTAGATTTATCTGATGTCCCTGAGGATCCTAGACCTTGGGCTGAACCAGGGCTCAGCACCTCACTGCTAATGGGACACACTGAGGGCTTGAGGTGAGGGTAGCTCCTAGGGCAGAAGCCACAGTGACAATCACTGGAAAGCTTAGGAATGTTTTTCAGATCCCTTTCAACCTGCTACACCTCAGATTTATAGTGGACTTGCTCTATGTGACCTTCCAAAGAGCCATCAGGCAGGTATGTTGCTGCTGGTACCCTCCAAGCCCCAGGCTCCTGGATAAGCTGTTCTGTAAAGCAGCATTTGGGGTCATCTGCTTCTCATCTGTCTTGGACCCCATGATGCTTAACAGTACTCTTGTTGTGTACCATTTGGGAATGATTTTTCCCTCAGTCTTGAGGGAAATTACAGGTAGAAAAAAGCCTAACCAAAAAGCCAACAAACTTGACTGAATTTTGGGGAACACTGACGTCTGTTGCTTCCACATCACACAGTGCCATGCCTGATGCCTGCACCTTAACTCAAACCATGCCAGCTCTGCCATAAAGGCTTCCTGTGGGAAGAAATGATGACATGACAAGACATCCCTTTTTGGAGCAAGAAACACTCCTTTTGAATGCAAGTCAGTGACATTCTGGTCCTCGGGGATTGTCCTGTGTGCCAGGACCTTGCCAGAGTCCACCAAGTGCTTCTCATTCCCAGAACCACACAGAACCATGTGAAGAGCAGCTAGATCCAGCCATGTTTTTAGAGCTGAGTAGATGGAAACTGCAGGAAAGGAGAGCCTGATCTGCTCTGAAAAGAAATGCAAAACCAAAGAACATTTGAGGGGAAGCCCAGCAGTTCCTAAATCACAACAGCAGGATTCTGCCTTATGATACACAACAGCATGAATGATAAAATCCAGGTCTCTGCTTTCCTAGCAAAGAGAAGACAGCCGGGAGGCTATTCAACATTAGAACCTAAGTTGGGAACAGGGTATGGGACCCTTCTGCTGTGCTGGGAGGAGCAGCAGGGGAAAACTAAATGATATCTACTGGAACTATATGGCTGGGTTAAACAGTACTAAGATTTAATATAAAAAACACCATGTTTGATATTAAACTCACTATAGTTAGCAGGTGAGGCTCACTTCAGTCCTAGGAAAGAAGATCCACTGTGGGTTCACCTGCAACTTAAACAGATCACTTGACAAGTTAATCTAGATCCACTGTCCTAGGGCAGCCAGCCCTTGATTACCACATGGTGGATTGCACAAGCCTGACGAGACTGGGGTTCTTTGGCTCTGCTGTGCAGCCGGGTCAGCCCAGGCTCTGCCTCTGTGTCTGACGCATCCCCTCCAGTGCTGGCAGCCAAGCCCTAGTGTCGGTGGTGATAACACAGGCTGGACCTGGCAGAGAGGGGAGAGAAGAGCAGCAGCTTTAGCACCAGCTCAGCTGTTCGCATACCGCCTCCAGCAGCATTCACCCTCTTAATGCTCCTGCAAGCTCATACAAGCTTAGCTGGAGAGGAGGATGGGCTTCACACAGTTGGACCAGAGGCATGTGCCAGGAAGCTCCAGCAGAGCAAATTGCCTTTTTCCTAGGCTTTGCTTGTGTCATTTGATTATCAGGACTCAAAACTCCTGTCCCAGACTTGTGGAGGGGTTACACACAGTCAGAGCACCTGAAGAGAAAGGAGTTGCTGCTACCACAGCACCTGACCCTCCAAAGAGGTGGCATTTCAGTCATGTTGTGCAGAATGTCTGCCAGGCACCATGCCCTAGGATCAGGGACTGGCTCAGAGACAATGCAAAAACAGCACCCATTAATTCCACTTGCTTTGTAAAAAAGTTGTATTTTTAGTGCTTATGAGTGGTGCCAGATTGGCAGTGTTATAAATAGAAGGTTGTATTTATCCTGCTGTCTAGGTACCACAGTGCTAAGTCAGTTTTACGACCTGAATAAATCCAGATTAGATTCTCTCAAGGATGCGTCACCACAGAAATAACATTTCCTCTTTGCATTCATATGCATGGATAAGGAGCACGGATTATGGCAAGGGAGGGGTGCTGCCCTCATAAGCCAGCCTGATGCTTTCTGATCTGCCTTGATGAGACGCAGGCTGACACTCAAACAAGACTGTGGATCCCAGCTGTAGCTCTCCAGGTCCTATCTAAAAGGTGATTCCATACCTTGCATTTTGGGGTAAAAAGCCTACGACAGCACTGGCAGATGAGGCTAGGCCTCAACCTGGGACAGGGAGCATCACACTCTGTTCCTGGATGATGGCCAGAGCTCAGTTGGCAGATGAAGTTATAGAGTCCTTGCTGACATTGGCCGTACCCACAGTGACAAAACACCAGGGTAGAATTAAGAAGGAGCTTTGCTTCTCTGCAAAAGTGAAAGAAAGGGAGACAGAAGGCAAAAAGAGTCCTATCTGGTAGAATAACTTACAGGGTATTGCTAAGGTGCTGCTTTTCTATCAAGCTGACTGCCAATAAGTATTAAAACTGAAGAATAATCCTTCCCCTCTTAAAAGAAACAGGAGAGAAGGTAACTCCCCCCTCAATTCCCTTCCTTTTTTCCTTCACCTCCTGATGCTGCTTCATCAAATTCGTGGCAACATGTCAATTCCCAGCACAACAGGCACTTTCTAGTGGTCACACACCTCCCTCTTTGAACAGGCTGTGCTGCTCCCAGCACCAGGGGATGCTGAACTGCTCAGTAAATGCACCTCCTGCAAAAACCAGCCCTTCAGGATGCCTGCTCGCAAAAGTGACATCTCATTCCTTATGCTCCCATTTGAGCCTGTGTCCACCTGCAAAAACCCACACATGCAACATGCCTGAAGACTGACTGCTCTTCCTCTAGGCTCTCCTCTGCTGTCTATGGCTACCAAGCAGGAAAAGGCAAGGGAAAGGGACTGGTAGATTTCAGTTACCCTGAAGTTACCTAGTTCCCTACCTGGGAAGCAGCCTGTCAGGCTGCTTTGGTCTCTGCAGTCTCCATTGGGAGCCCAGAGAGCAAATACACTAGGAAGCCAAGCATATCAAAGAGCATATGAACGACAGCAGCTGAAGGGTTTTGATCCTTTCACTCTCTGTGAGGTTTTTATAGTTCCACAAGCTGGAAGCCTGAGTGAGCACAAGCTGCTTGGCTTCACATGCAACGTTTTGTCTGGTCAGCTGCTTGGCAGGAGGGAGGGTGTTGGGTTTGGATGTACCACACTGCCTGCCTGCCCTAACTCTTGGTGAAAGCTTGCTTCTCCTCCTCATGTCAGAAAGGGGGTCTGGAGGGCTGGGGGTGCTTCAAGCCCACTGGAGCCCACTAAAAGTATGAAAAGTTGATTGTGGAGAGAACCACAGAATCACCAAATCAACCAGGTTGGAAAAGCCCTTTAAGCTCACCCAGTCCAACTGCTCCCCAGCACTGCCAAGGCCACCACTAACCCATGGCACTGAGGCCTCGTCTCCACAGTGTGTGAGCACTTGCAGGGACGGTGACTCCAGCCCTGCCCTGGGCAGCCTGTTCCAATGCCTGAGCACCCTGTGGGGAAGGAATTGTTCCTCAGCTCCATCTAAACCTGCCCTGGTGCAGCTTGAGGCCATTTCCTCTTGTCCCATCCCTTGTTCCTTGGGAGCAGAGCCCAGCCATCCTCCTGTCACGCAGTTGTAGGGAGTGATAAGGTCCCCCCTGAGCCTTCTGTTCTCCAGACTGAACCCCCAGGCCCCTCAGCCATTCCCCATTACACTTGTGCTCCAGGCCCTTCAATCCTTACCAGTTTTCTCAGATAGGCTCAATATCTGGGTCTAGAACAGCCACTGGAGAAGACTAAAAGATCGGCTGGTCTTGTGCTGCCCTTTGTGTGCACAGGAATGGAAGAAAAATGCAAAATGAGTCAGGGTGTGAGGAAAAGGAAACCTAAAATAGTAATAATAAAATAAAAAGAAGTAAAAGGTACTTGTGCATAGCAAGATGAGAAGAACTAAAGCAAGCCTTAGTGGGAGTGTTATTTGCTTGACGTTGCTGTCTGATTTGAGACTCACATGCCTGAGCTCTAAACCCGCCATGGAGTCATCACAGAGTTGCAAACCCAGCCTGCACTGCTAAATGAGGATGTTGGTGAACTTCCCGGTATTCCCAAGTGTCACTGCTTAACTCACGTGCCAGGCTGGTGTGAGAGTTAGTCACGACTGCTTAAGGCATGGAGGCACCAGAGCTCCCTGGAGGATGATGATCCCATTTCACGGCAGCTCTTGAGGTTTCAAAATGAGTTTCCTCTGCCTGAAATGAAAGCAGCACAGAATCGTAGAATCACGGGATGGGTTGGGTTGAGGGGACCATAAAGCTCATCCAGTTCCAATCCCCTGCCACAGACAGGGACACCTTCCACTACAGCAGGTTGCTCCAAGCCAAGAACTTATCTCAATTTCCCCTCTGGCAGGTTAAAGCCATTCCCCCTTGTCCTGTCCCTACAGGCCCCGATGGAGAAAAGAAGATAAAAAAAGGGGGGGCGGAAAGGGAATTTTGTTGCAATGTCTATTTTGCGATTAAAAACTGAAGCCTTTTCAGGACAGAGGGGATACTGTACTGCACAAGGCACTGGTCGGGAGGGTGAGACACCCCGGAGGCATGGGAGTAGTTTGCTACCCCAGTAAGTTTGAACACACCAAGCTCAGCAGCAACACTACTGTGTCTACGCAGAGCCAGAGAGCCAGCATAAAGTTTGACATATAGCTCCTCCACTCTTCTTACTTGGAAAGGGAAGAAGTGGAATAAAGATTTGAAGCCACTCAAATAAAGCTATTAAGGATCTGGAAGGAATATTGGGTGTCCTGTGGCTTGCTAGCACCCTCATCTGGTCTGTCATCACTGTCAAAACCCTTCCAACCCACAGCCACCTTGTGCCTTGAACATCCTGGCGCTTGCCTCTCCTGCCTGCAGACAGCTCTCCTCTGCTCCTGACATGAAGAACCTCTCTCTGGAGGATATGGAAGTGAGTCTGTCATTCATTCTCCATGAGCTCTGCCTTGTGCCTGCAGTGGTCTCCTGGACAGTGGGCAGCAAATATATCCTGCAGGGTCTGGTCCATATTGTGCCCATCCAAGGCCAAGCAGCACCCTCAGCGGTGCCTGACCCTCTGGTTCCTGCTCCCCTCTGCACAGAGCAGAGCTCCCAGACATACACCAAAGGAGGAGCAAGAGGCTGGAAACCTGACAGCAAGCTGATGGTGTTGGCTTCACTTGGATCCCTCCATAAGCTGCCAGCTCTGCTAGACAGGAGGCTGCTCTCCTGTTTATTTAGTAATCCAAGTGAACGGCATCTTCTGGGAAGCCCATTTTCAATCATTTACCAAATGAGGTTACAACATTCAGGGGTTTGCCTGAGGATTAACATCATGCTGCTCACAGCACTATCAGAGCCTAGATGGAGTCAGGAGTGGATGGAAGGCCTTGCTGAAGAGGCAATCATTCCCCAGCTATGCATGATGTTAAAACAAGCTGCATGTAGAAAGGCAGCTGCTTCCCTTCTGCCATGCCCATCAGCTCATGGCATGAAGCCTCTGTGATCCTGTGTTCAGTGCTCTCAAGGGTTAATCCCCTCCAGAGGGAGCTGGGACTCTGCTCCACCAGTCTTTTATCATTGGGGCTGAGGACCAGCAAGTGAAGGAACAAAGCACACAACCCATGTTCTGGCTGCGAGACTTCTTCGTGCTTTCCTTTTCAGTGCAGAAGGAAGCTAAAGGGAACAGCACTTAAATGAGAAGCAGGGAGAGGGACAGGGAACACTGTGGCTGCAAAGACTCAACCTCCCATATGATTGCTGGGCATGTGGTGCCAGATAAATGTGCTCCTGTTAAATGTGGCACTCGCTGTGCCCGCATGAAGATGTGCACTGTGCTCACACAGCCCCACAGAGTGCTCTGGAAGTGGTCACAGCCTCAGATGAAGCAGTTTCATTACAAGATGCTGCAGAGTTAAGACTGAAACATTCTGTGCATGGTGGCTCAGGCTTGAAGGGCTGCTGCCAAGGCAGGGAAGGACACTGAATCAGAGTCATAGAAGCAACCAGGTTGGAAAAGACCTTTAAGCTCATCAAGTCCAACTGCATTTAATCCATTTATTGCATTGTCCAGTGGAAAGACGACTCCTCTCCAGACCTGTGCTTCCTGCACAACAGCCATGCACTGCTTTAGACAAAGGCAGAAGAGTTTACAGCTTAGAAGAGCACCTCGTTCCATCTCATCCCACAGAGCCTTAATTGCACTCATGGGACTGTCCTCCACAATGCTGAGCTGAATCCTCCAACCCATGAGATGCAATAAAACAGCACTGAGTTTAGAGCAGAAGGAACATGGGATCCATCATAGCTTTCTCATTTAAAATCCTTAAAGATGGACTCAAGTCATCTCTCAAGTTGACCACAGGTTATTTTCTTCCGTTGAAGCAAATTGCCCAACAGCCTTTTGCCACTGATATCCCTGGTAGGCAAAGCACACTGAGGTTCTGTGCCCTGCTGAAGGGCAGCTCCTCAGGCACAGCACAGTCCTGACCCTGGAATGGTTTTACACTGCTAATGAACACACTGAATCCCAGCCCAGAACCCAAGCCAGCAGCCTCTGCTGGGAACAGCACCAGGATCTACAGCCAGCACTGAGCATTTTCAATTCCTCCCTCCAAAAATCATTGAATCATAGAACCCCAGCCTGGTTTGTGTTGGAAGGAACCTTAAAGCTCATCCAGTCCCAACCCCCTGTCACAGGCAGGGACACCTTCCACTAGAGCAGGTTGCTCCAAGCCCCTGTGTCCAACCTGGCCTTGAACACTGCCAAGGACTTTGTGCCCTCTTTCTGGTCCTCAGACAAGAGAGATGGTCTCAGCACTGAGCAGAAGCTGGGAACCTGCCGCAGGTTCAGGGGTCCAGCCCTGTGGTGGGTGAATGCTCTGCCCAGGCATCATCCCCCTGCCCTCCAGCCTTGTGAGAAAGTGCTAACTCCTGTCTCCCCAACTCCATCCTTTGGCAGGGCTCCATCAAGAACTGCAGTTTAGCACAACTAAATTGAAGCAGCCCCAAGAGCGTGCAGTTTATGTATTCCTACATCATTAAGCCTTCTCCTAGCGACAGTGTTTAAAAGGCACAGTGACGTCTCATTCCCCTCCCACTCCCCCCCCCGTTGCTGTTTGGCTCTTGAAAATTAAAAGATAAGCTTTGTAAATCTCCCAGAGAAGAGGGAACTGTCACTTCAGCTTTAGGAGAAAAGCCAGCAAAGAAACAAAATGCTGCTTTTGGCAGAGGAGAAAGAAAATCCATTCTGAAAGGCTTAGAGACAAAGGCTCTCAACACAATTAAAGGCAAACCTAAGACTTTGAAAGCAGAGGGCATGACACTGGAATACACACATGAGGTAGAGATGAAAGCCTTCATTGTGGCACTGTTGAAATAAAAGAAGTTTCAATGGCTGCATTTGCTAAACCAAAGGAGATGAGAAGCTTGCTAGAGAAGGGCTGGACTCTTCCCATGGGTATGCACAATGACAAGACCCGCTGTGCTCAGTCTTAATTAGGATCCTGGGGCAGTACTAGAATAGCTTGGGGAGAGAGGGTCACAACATTCAGGAATGGGAAAGAAAACAGGGCTCCGATATTTTCTGTGGGAACTTTTCCACCTGAGAAGCCTAAAATCTTCCTTTCCAGCCTGTTGAGCTGAAGCAAAAGGTGTTTTGATTTGTCACGTCAAGGTGTGTGTTTCACAGGACAGCTTGCTCCGGATGCAGCGCTGCATTGCAGGCATGAGGTGGCTTTCAGCCCAGCCATGGTCTGAAGAGGTGGCTGCCTCTAGAAAGCACTGAGCAGAGTAGTCCTGACTCTAAACTAAGAGCATCACAACCAAGGAGAACCACAACACACCACTGTTGGAGTGCTTGCTCCTAGAAGGCAGTGAAAACTGCCCCTTGCTCTCAAACCCTTTATCTCCAACCAGCAGCACCATGAGCCCCAAACATTCACTACAAGATGCTCCCAACCAGTGTGCAAATGCCAGACTGCCAATCATGAAAGTCTGTGCTGGTAAGGGAGCACCACCATTCAGTTAAACCACAGTTTGGCCATCCACCCCCTGCTGTAACTGCCCAAAGCCAGCTCCGGCTTGACCCTAGAGAGTTGCACCATGCTGGAAAGGTGATGATTTCTGCTATTTTATCTATCCTATTCTCAATATAAGGAGGACATGGAGCTGTTGGAGCAAGTCCAGAGGAAGCCACAAGTATGAGCAGGGGCTGGAGCTCCTCCATATGGAGGCAGGCTGAGAACATTGGGGCTGTTCAGCCTGGAGAAGAGAAGCTGCGTGGAGACCTCAGAGCAGCTCCCAGTGTCTGAAGGGGGCTACAAGGATGCAGAGAAAAACTCTTCATCAGGGACAGTAGCTACAGGACAAAGGGTAATTAATGGGTTAAAACTGAAACAGGGCAAGTTCAGGTTAGACATAAGGAAGAAGTTCTTCCCTGTGAGGCACTGGCACAGAGATTGCCCAGAGAAGCTGTGGCTGCCCCATCTGTGGCAGTGTTCAAGGCCAGGCTGGACACAGGGGCTTGGAGCAACCTGCTCTAGTGGAAGGTGTCCCTGTTTTCTGAAAAGCAGGGAAAAGAAAGCTCTGCAGACAGTTTTAGCTTCTTTCTTCTGTGTGTTTTCCATTGGTTGGTTTTGTCACCAAGGAGACCAAATTCCTACACATAAATCCACATTTCTGTGCCAATGGCCATCACAGCACCATTACATAAGGCGCACGTTGTGCTTGTGAGCTATAGCTTTACTCACTGTATGGAGGATTTTCTGGGCTGTTATGTCCACCCAACATCCTTTAGGTCTGCTCAAAGCCCAGGTCCCCAGTACTGAGACAAGAAGTCACCTTGCACCTGAAGTTTCTTGCATGTTCCTCATATCCATGTAGACAGTCCTGCATAAAACACACCAGCACATTAGAGAAAGGAAAATAAACTCTAGTGTGCAAAAGGGGCTGAGGCACAAATTCATTCAGAAAATACCACCAACCCCACAGCACTTGGGTTCCTGTCCTCACTGAGGGAATAGCTCTCTCTACACTCCAATCCTGCTCTATCCCAGATTTTTTTTCCCTCCCCCCTCTCAAAACAGCTCCTCAGAGCTCAGTTTTCAAAGCACTGAACAGGAGCACCATTTGATGGTGTTAATGGGAATTCTGTGCCCAGGATGCCTTTCAAGAGAGCACATGTGCTGAGTTTATACCAAGTCCCCCAGGACACAGCCTGTCTCATGTTGTTTGTGCAATGCCTGTCATGCTGACCTCCATCTCCATAGCAATCCACAGAAGCAAATACCTGACTAGAAAATGTGAGGCAGAGCTCCCCCTGCTCATCTCAGTGGGACAATGAGATGGACTGGGCAAGGCAATGTCCACTGTGGGCTGCTCAACTCATCTGGGGCAATGAAGTAGGTAACTGTGTCATAGAATCCCAGAACCCCAGACTGGTTTGGTTTGGGAGGTACCTTAAAGCTCAGCCAGTTCCAACCCCCTATAAAACGTCCCTTTATATTTAACAGCAGCTTTTGGAACAAGGAGCTAGATCTTGCCAACAGATCTGTGGAAGAGATCAGGGAATATCAGTTCAGGTGTCTACCATGAAATTAAATCTGTACTTTTGGTGTACTAGAACCTCAGTGATTTATTCACGTGACAAGAAACCATTAAAGTTTTGCCTCTCACACTTTCTTGTACAGCATCCTAGAAAACCATCCAGCTTCAGATTCTACAAGCAGTTGCAAATCGAATTCCTCAAAGCCAGAACTGTGTATCCAACGTGGTCGATGGCCATGGGTCAAAGATTCTATAATGGCTTTCACAGCTGTGAAATCCCAGTGCAAGGCAAACCGACGTCAGATCACTTATATAAATGGTTACCTAATGCTATGTCTTCCTGTATCTGCATCACGGGGAACTGATACACAGCAGAGTAGGCTCCAGTAACACCTTGTGGAAGACTCATCAAGAGGAATTAAGAATCCTGAAGACATCAGAGGTGAAGGTGCTGCCTCTCTGAGCCCCCACAACCAGGCCCAAAGGAGCATCTGTGAGGAGGCCAGGCAGTGAGCTGGTGCACTACTGACAGACACCGCTCTATGCACTTCTTACTGTCTTCTAGATTTGACCTGCCAACCTTTCAAAACACAGTCTGAACACATCTCCAAGGCTGTTTTTTTACATCAGCCCCACACTCTCCTGTTCTAGCATCAACAAAAACCCTGGTTCTCAAAGCAACAGCTGCTTTACATGATCTCAGTTTCAAGCCAGCTCCTTAACAGATACTTCCCTCCCCTTCTCCCCACTAATTTTAGCTGTGTTGCTGTTCCATCTGGTCCCCCTGTGCTTGGAGGATTGCCAGTACCTCCTAGGAAAAACAAAAAGCTCTCTTCGATTTGGGATTGTTGGGATAATGTGAGCAGAAGCGGTAGCATCTGCATCCATTTCCAGTTCCGACTCTGGACCATGCCAAGAAGCGGCAAGCAGCTATGAGGCTGAGCTCTTCCTCCGGTGGCAGTGCAGCATGGATGAGACAACTGCATGTTATGTCTAAGCATGTTTTCCCCATGGGTTAGTCTGAGGTACAGGCAGGGGCTGATGTCTGCAGCAGAGAGAGAACTGAATCACAGAAACATAGAATGGTTTGGGTTGGAAAGGACCTTAAGATCATCCAGTTCCAATGCCCTGCCGTGGGCAGGGACACCTTCCATTAGACGATGTCACCGTAGGCTCTGTCCAGCCTGGCCTTGGACACTGCCAGGCATGAAGCATTTATCACCTCTCTGGGCACCCTGTGCCAGTGCCTCCCCACCCTCACAGGGAAGAACTTCCTTATATTTAACCCGAACTTCCCCTGTGTTTCTGTTCCTAGATCACACAGTACATGAGCAGAGGTCCCCCTTCCAGTAACCACTACTATGGGGAATCAGTAAGAGTTAGAAACTTACATTTCAGAGCTGTCAGACCAGACAAGCATCCTGGAAACCATCAGGAAGCCTGGTCCAGGATGAAGTAAAGGCTCTTGGGCACTTTGCATTGTTGCTGGTACTTCCGAGGAAAAGTTCCTTTGTTTTAAGGACAATAGATTGCCTGCCTCCAGGGATCCAAGTGTGGGTTCCTTTCTTGCCTGTGTTACAGCTCAGGAATGAAAAACAAAGAAGAAATTGAAGAAAGAAGCTACAAGTAACCCCAGGAAAGGGTGGGTTTGTGTTCCCCTGAGCTCAGGCTTTGTTTGGGCAATGAGGGCGATGTGAGGTTCTGACAAAGAGGCTTTTCCCTGGTGATATCAACCACCAACCTGCATGGGTCCAGCCTGCCTGGTAAAGACCTACCACATATTAGTTAATTCCCTGTGATGCAGATACAGGAAGACACAGCATTAGGTAACCATTTATATAAGTGACCTGACTTTGGCTTGCCTTGCATTGGGATTTCACAGCTGTGAAAGCCATTATAGAATCTTTGACCCTTGGCCATTGACCATACTGGATACACAGTTATGACTTTGAGGAATTAGATTTGCACCCACTTGTAGAACCTGAAGCTGGATGGTTTTCTAGGACGCTTTACAAGAGGCAAAACTTTAAGGGTCTTGGTGTCTGGAGCTGCCCTGGTACCCCTATGGTAGGTGTGGGCTTGCTTGATGACATCCATCAAGCTGTAAGGCCAGGGCTGCAGGGCCATCTCAGGGAACTGCAGCCCTGGAAGCAGTTATGAGCTAGCTCAGCTCTGCTCTCTGCTCCTGCAAGTGGGAGGAGCAAGCATCCAGCTCCTGTCCTGAACTGCCTAATCAGAAGAGACAGCAAAGAGATTCATGCTGACAGCATCTGTCTGAGAGCATGGCCATACCTGCAAGGGAAAAAGCTCTGCAGCACTTCTGAGCTCTGGGAAGGCAGGGGATGCCCTAGAAGGTGAGGAGGCAGCTGGCTTATGCCTATGAACAGCATCTTCCAAAGGGAGACCTCCTGCAGCAGGCAAATGACTTCCTCACTGAGATTTAGGTATCAGGCTCATTCAAAAGCAGAAGGGAGCCTAGGGACTTCCTAAGACCAGCAAAGAAAAGGATTACCTTGTGCTTGGAAACACAGTGACATAAGGTAGTCTTTCATTAAAACCAATATGCCCCCAACCCTTCCCCAGTCACATTTTTAGGTCCAGTTTGAAGGGATTCACAGAATCCCAGCCTGGTTTGTGTTGGAAGGGACATTAAAGGTCATCCAGTTAAAACCTCTGCCACAGGCAGGGACAGTGAAGAAGCCACAGCTTGTGAAGCACTCAGCAGGTTCCTTGCCCTGTCTATTGCTCACCTCCAGTGTGTGCTCATGAGCAGGAGGGGGCAGGATGCCACTCTGCCACCCTCCCTGTGTAGGCCCAGCTTCCTCAGGAGCAGGAGTCACTTGAATTTTCAGCAGCTGGATAACAAAACTGCTGAACTTCTCCTGAACAAACTATTCCTTGGGGGTTTTGGCTGAACTGAGTTGTAAAGTGACTGCAGCAGGGCTGCAGGTATGGGTTTAGTGCAGAGAATTCAGATGGGCAGTCAGGCTTCTTACAAGGGGCAGATGAAAGCAAACTCACTAGTCAAGAGAAATGAAACTCCTGATGCACCGGAACAGTGGGGATACTTGAAAGAGGGAGAGATTATGTCAGGAAACAGGAATGGAGGAGCTTAGCCTGAATATACATAGTTGGGTGAAACATGACAGAGGGACATGGGTGGTTATAGCTGCAAAATCTAGCTGGCATGCTGAGAAGGTGCATGGCTCCAGATGCTAAATTCATGCTTCAGTCTCAATGGCCAGACCCACAGCCTGCTGAAGGGAACAAAAAGGCTCATATTGACTTCCACAAGCCTTGGATCAGAGATGAAGTTTTAACAGCCCTTTTCCACCACTGATAAATTGTTCATGGGAGTCAGTGAAATGAATTAGGAAGCTTTAGTTATGTTGCCTTTCTCCAAGAGAGAGGAAAGCATCTGAATAGTTTGGGGGTCTTGTGTCCTCTGTTGCCAGCAGTCCGGTTTAGCTGAGTTCAACACCCAAGTTACATCTGATCAACCATGCTGCTGTAACCTGGAACTCTGCTTCACTCTACAAGTGTGCTCCCTCACACTCAACGCACTGCTTAAATCCATCAGGACAGAGCTATTTTCTGAGTGCCAATGCTTTTGCTCCTAGTTCACATGCACAGTGAAGCTCAAACATGGCTGACAGCAGAGTCACAGAGGCTGTTACACTCCATCTGCTTCCCTAATAACCACTCCAAACAGTCATTTATGAGGACTTTTGCCTTGGACTATTGCATTTCTTCAATATATGTATTCCTCCCTCACCTCAATAGCTGCATTTCCTGCTTCCTTTTTTTGCATCTTCTCTCAGGCATCCCTGCTGATGCAGAGGCTTTAGAGATGCTGGTGTGTCTCCAGCAGACTCACCCTTTTCCTGGGCATCCTCACCCAAGCACATAGCGGAGAGTTATTGGGTTTGGTTACAAACAGGACATAGTAGAGGTGCTGTTTCAGCAAGGTAACAGACTTACTATGGACCCAGAGGAGGTCATGGAGAAGCTGCAAGGGCTGGAGCAGCTCTGCTCTGGAGCCAGGCTGAGAGAGCTGGGCTGGTTCAGCCTGGAGAAGAGAAGGCTCCAGGGACATCTTAGAGAAGCTTTTCAGTACCTGAAGGAGGTGACAGGACAAGGAGGAATGGCTTTAACCTGCCAGAGGGGAGATGGAGATGAGCTCTTAGGCAGAAGCTCTTCCCTGTGAGGGTGCTGAGGCGCTGGCACAGGGTGCCCAGAGAAGCTGTGGCTGCCCCATCCCTGGCAGTGTTCAAGGCCAGGTTGGACACAGGGGCTTGCAGCAACCTGCTCTAGTGGAAGGTGTCCCTACCCGTGGCAGGGGTTGGAACTGGATGAGCTTTAAGGTCCCTTCCAACACAAACCATTCTGTGATCCTATGACCCAGATGTATCAGGGTGCTGACTGGCTCTCAAGAGCAGATCACACTGCCTGTGTGTAGGCAGCACTGGTTTAATACGCTGGAAGCAACATGGCTGCTCCCCCTTTTATGCCTTAGAAGCTACCTTAAAACTGTATCTTTGCTCCTGTCAAACTCTTTTATTCCCTCTGCCCTTCTCAGCAGGTATCTGGCACACCTTGCCCTTCTCTCATCAAGGTCCCTCGTTTATCCTGTGCCAGCCACTCTGACCTGTCCTTTGTGGTATCCCTGGATGTTATTTATGTGCCCAGGTGCTCCCTCCTTGTCTCCCCTTGCAGGGAGGATTGATCCTTCTCTTCTACCATCTCCACAAGTCAAACCTTGACAGAGGCCACAAGAGAAGGAGCAGAGCTGAGGGTGTCTGCTGCACACACAGCAGTGCTGGGGGCTCACCGGGTGATAGCATAACAGCTACCCCAGCAAGGAGCAGCACTGAGTCCTGCTCCTGTTGGTTCTGCAGCTCCTCTGGACTGCAAATAGCATTAAAAAATGAAGTATATGCAGCACACAGGCACATTCCTACACCCATCCCTTGTTTGGAGGGTTGTGTCTGCCTTGCGTTCATGGCAGCTCCCTACAGACAACCTTAGGTCTTGGTCCAGTCTTTGACAACATCAACCTTTGGCTTGCTAGATCACCATGACACAAGTCATTATTCCAGGTTCCTCTTGCTTACACCTCACCCAAAAGCATACACTTGCACTGCACTCATCCAAACAACATTTTGCCTTCCTATGATCCATACCCAGCATCCACATGAACCAGATGCAGAAACGCAGCCCCAAATCTTGCACAATGAGACATTCAAGCAGCAATGTCCATCAGGGCCACCCTTGCTGCCTGCCTTCTGCTGCTCAGGTGTACAAGCTAGAGCCCTCCTTCCCTTTGAGCCACCTTGGAATATTCCTTCTGCTCCACATGAAGCATGACTCCTTAATAGATTAGCCTGGATCTGTCACACAGTGAAGCAATACAGCAGGCAAACAGAAGGCCAATGCAGTTGTGCAGAGACAGACCCCAGCCTGTGCAGTGAGGAAGTAATCCTTCTTCTCTGTAGGACCCTGGTAATTGCATCTGGATTTCATTGAGCTCATGGCAGGCCATTCCCAGAAAGGCTGACAAACCCAAGCAAGCTCAAAGCTGATTAACAACACACAGCCAGGGTCTTGAGGGATTGATTTATGTGGAGAGATTCACAGAGCTCAGTAGGGCTTGCTCAGCCAAGTTATGATTAAAGGAGATAAGAGTCTGGAAATACCTGTGGGCTAAAAAACTGATGACCCATCATCGTGGGGCTGCCCAGAGGTTAACTTGAAAGCCTGGAGATAATGAAATACACCGTGTACCAGGAGGAGCCTGCACCAGGCTAGGCCCTGCTGAGAACTGAACACACATGCAGCAGCACCCATGGGTCAGAACATGCCCCAGGGGACAAAGCAATAGGGCCAAGATGGGGAGGACCCCTTGAATGGTCCCAGAGGGGCTGTGGGTAGCCACTGGGGAGGGAAGGGTTGTCTTTTCCACTGAAGGGTGAGGAGAAGGGCATTGGCTGTCATGCAGCTCTGGGACAGACCATGACATTGGAGCTCTCCTTGCTTCTCCTCTTGGTGTGGTGTCCCCCAGATATGGCCAGCTGTAGACTGGTGCTGCCTGCTCCATTAGCATCAGCAAGGCTTGAGCTGGCCCAGCAGTGAAGACTGTGCAGCAACTGGACAATTCAGTTTGCAAAGTGATTCAGCAATGTATTGATTTAACTCTCTGCAGACAAATGACCTCTCTCTGGGCTCCAGTCATCAGCATTAATATCTTAATAGATTTACTGTGTAGTCACTTCTCCGCAGGGCGAGGGAAATGTGGGCAGCAATGGGGTGAGGCAGGAGGGGGCTTGGGCCAATCAACCCCATCCCTGGCAGTGTTCAAGGCCAGGCTGGATGGGGCTTGGAGCAACCTGGTCTAGTGGAAGGTGTCCCTGCCCACATCAAGGGGTTGGAACTGGATGAACTTTAAGGTCCCTTACAACACAAACCAGTCTGGGATGAACAGAGCACAGGCTGCAAGGTTGGGGTTTTCTGAAAGCAGGCAATGAAAAAAAGGGGTGTCAATATAAAGAGGCACCACTTCCTCCTGGTCTTCAATTAACATTTTCTTAACCACAGTCACAAGAGCAACCCACTTGGCTCAACTTCTCCAGCCTGCAGCTCAGAGGAGGATGAGGGACCAGGACTAAATGGTAGCAGACACCAACTTGGACTGTGCAGGGGGCACAGCCAACAGCATCCTTGGTGAGGATGGGTGAGGAGCACACCTCACCCAGACAGCTCACAGGCTGTTGTTCAGCAGCACAAGAACCCTGCAGTGGGGGTCCTACATTAATGCAGAACATGTTTTCTTGTACACATACAACCAGCACACAAGCCATAAGCCAGGATCTAAGCTGTTATCAGTCATCACAGCCCTGGAGAAATCCATGCTGATTCACACCAGCTGAGAGCATGCAACTTCATACTGCAGGTATTTCATGACCACATAGCTGCTGTGACAGTTAAAGATGCCATCTTGTACCACAAGGGATCAGCTGTATCCCAAATCCAAACAGTCTGTATTATTCTCTGCATCAGAAACCTATTGCTTTTCACTATGAGCTTTCAGACACCATGATTTAGCTCTCTCTTGCCTCCTGCCAATCTATAACCAGGATAGTACAACTGTTCTGCTCGGAGTAACTGTCATTAGGATACCATGTAGATGTGATACATCAGCCCAAACTCCCAGTCCAACCCTGACTCTCACTACATAACCACACATACACATAATTATACACAATTACTCTTCCAAGGAGCTCATTTCCAAAGTAAAAAATAGATGTTTGGGTTTTTTCAGACTGCTCTTTCCTGGGCTCCCACAAGCCTCTTCTTTTCCCTGGGATCACTCAACCTTTATCTCCTCCACACAATGGAAGGGATCCCAAGTTGCTTTTCTCCCCCCCCCCCCCGAATAGGAATCTTCCACAAAACTTAGGTGTAGCTGAGACCTTCTAATGTAATAACC